TTTTTTACATAAGTATTCTTGCTGGTAATAAAATTAAAACAACTAATAAAAATTTAAACAAAAATTGTACTTACGTATAGAATCTGCTATACTTAGAAATACTTATATATCGTTGTTACAAGCTTTATTAAATTGAAAATATATTTTATCGTTTGCACTTAGCATTCTGAAAGTATTTTTCATTCATTATCTATGTTTCGAATTATGGTCAAATATCTATCCAAATTTTGTATTTACGTATTAAAATCAGTTAATCTTTCAACTAGTAAGACAATATTTCCTTTAAAAGACTATATAACTTAACATTAATTCGTTTTTTCGATGTTAATTTACTACGAGACTAAAAAATAATTCTTCTAAATTAAAATGATTATCTACCAAACGAGATTTACATTTAAAAATATTTTCCAAGTAAAGAATCAAATATTTTTGCTCAAATTAAATTACTTTTATTAGAAGAAAAATGTTATAAGTATTTTAATTTTAAAATATCTTTATTTTTAAATTAATGAATCGTGTGTAAATTTAAAAAGGCCTTTACTAAAATTGCTAAATACAAGATCCTTTTTCAAATTCAAAATTATACTAGGCTTAATTTTATTTATTTTGTAAAATGCATATCTCAAAGGAAATTCAAGTCTCAAAGGAGATTCTCTCTGAAGAGGATTTCTTCAGTTATACTTAAAAATTATATAAACATAAATGTGTATTGGTTTATTTCTTGTTAAAAATTATGTTCATGTATGTTATATTCATTTGTATTACATATTTGGGGCAGTTGTCTTCAAACTATGTTCCCCGGAACTCCGGGGTTCCACAAGACATATCCAGGGGTTCCACGAGGCACAATGAAAAAAATCGAAAATAATTATAAACGTGTATGCAAAATGGATTTTCGCTCTCTCTCTATGTAGCTTGTATAACCACAACTATCTAAAGATATAATCTCAGTCATGAAAACTAAAAACTTATTTACACATAATAACTTTATTTTCTAATACTTTTTTAACCTTTATTATAATATAATAAAATATTAGAACGTTTTCCTTTATGTAGATAGTGAATATTCTTTTATTTACTATACCGGGTTTCATGAGATAATTTCATACTCGTTTGCACAATGTTTTGCAAAACTAAATAGTTTTCTAATGGAAATTGCTCCTTTTTTGTCATTCGTAGGAAAAATACCTATAATGAAGGAGAGGAAACAACTATAACAACAGATTTGATGTTAAAATCTAAATTGAAGTAAGAACAGCTACTAAATGTTAGGTTGCAAATTCATGTAAGATACACAAGATTTTTCACACAACTATAAACATGTCAATGCCATTCAGAACAATGTATTTAAGTGAAAAATATTTCTCAATGTGAGTGGGTACTAAAACAAAATATAAAAGTAAATTAACTGTAGAATATAAAATGCGACAACAGAGAGCTTCAACAGACCTAGACTTCAGCAGTTTTTGTAAAAAAATACAAGCACATAATCCAGTTACTGAATATAATACATAGGTATGTGACACTTGAATTACAAATTAATATTATTTATGAGTAAATTATACTAAAATCACACACATATTAAATTTTTTTAGCAACCACATTACTTTTTAATTGTTACATTAAATACCTATAACACATGTTGATTTACTTCAAATATTATTTTAAGATATATTCTAATCGTGTGCGGAACGCGGGGCTCCCTGAAAGCACCTAAGAGTTCCGTGAGTCATTCCAAAAGTTTGAAGACCTCTGATATATGGTAGCCAGTGGCACACACAAGGGGGTGTCCTCCTAGGGGTCGGACCCCCCCCGCCCCATAGCCCCTGATTTTTTTCGACTGGTTATAATTTTATGTATATATTACGTAAAACTTAATTGTGTATTTGTTATTAATAATTAATTTTACTAATTAATGATAATTATTTATTCAATAATTAATTTTGTATTGTTTTTGTTCTCGAAAATCGACAAAATCCAAGTAACCTGTTGGGTGGCGTATTGGAGTAAAATACCAAAATGGTGGACTTTCGACCCTGGACCCCCTTGAAAATTTTTTGTGTGCGGTACTGATGGTAGCAATATAAATCAGGCACTAAGTTTCAAATTAATTTTTAAAGAAATGTAATTTAAGTAATAAAAAATTGGCAAAATCAATAATAGTTCCATAAAAATGAATATTTTTATTCATTTTTTTAGTTGTGAATGTATATACATAAACAGGTTTTCAAAATTAAGAAAATTTTATCTTTTGGTTGGTAATCTCCACTTTAAGAAAAACGAATTTCAATGTACAGCAACCAGATCCGTAATTGTTTCGAAATGAACATTTATTACAGAAATAAACACTACGTCAGTTGAAATAAAAGACATTAAAATATTTCCTGATGGACGATAAAAGCAAGCCCATTTCCACTTGGCATTCCTCGTGTTGCAATCATTTTCTTCAAATTAGAATCGGTGTTTCTCTTAAAGGAATAATGTCTAAATGGACCCGACACAAATAGCTTTTACTCATCGAATTCGTTATCAATTTATATGACTCCTTAGGCTATTTATTATAGCAAATTGGGCACTTGAACTTACTTGTAATTCACCCATCAGCTTCGGCAGTCGCGATAGCGTGACGTTGTTGCGAAGCCTTTCCAATTAACCAGCCGTAGAGTTTTTTTTTAATTTTATTTTACGTTTTTTATATATATACTTTCGTTCCTTTCGCTCCTCCCCTCCGTATTGATAAATGCCTCAGAGTTCGCATTCGGAATGGAGAAAAGGAAGAAGAAAAAGAAATTCGAAATTAAGGTGTTAAATTCGGAGAAAAGGAACATCTGCTCGAGGAATAGACAAAGAAGACCTATATAAATCTTCCTTGATTTGCTTTTATTTCGATTAATGTTATATAGTTTACACCTTTGTAATCTCTTCATTTTATTTGGCATAATTGGAGTTTGCATTTTTCTTTTCTCCAATGTGATTGGAATCGCGTAACTGGTGAATAAAGGCCGTCTGTAAAAGAAAAAAGAGTCTATTTTGAGTAATTTTGTGCTGTTTGGCGCTTCAGAGATGCAATTTTTTCAACTCTTCCTTTCTTTGCTTTTCCACCATACAGTTCAAATAAACATAAAATCAACATGCATGTTTGTATATTATTGTTATTGTTGCCTTTTTTGAGATCTTATTATTAGATTTTTAATTGTTCTAATTTTGTCAGTTAAGGCCTTAACACACGAACGCGAATTTGGAGCAAATTTCCTTGAAAGTAACCAATTCCGAACAATTTCTACCTAGTTGCCACAGCAACGGCACCGAACAAATTTTTCACAGTGAATTGATAAAATTACTCCAAATAAAAGTTGCTTGAAATTCCAGCCAATGGGTTTCTTCGGTGCCTTACGTTATAAACAAGATAGCAGTCTCGGCTTCGTCAAACGCATCAGATATAGCGTATAATATTTTAATGGTGTATAATATTTTAACGGCGTAATATTTTAAGCAGAATGGTGCTCCATTTCTGTTTACGCCCGTCAACAAAAGCGCGAGCGAAATAAAAGAAATAATATTGAATGTTCATTTTCTGAAGCAGAAAAATTGGCGAGTAATTTTTCAATGTGGAGATAGAGCGCGGCTGACGTCAGAACCTATCGTTTTGCTTACGGCAACACTTCACCCTCAGCTTCGTGAAAAATTCGGCGAAACGGTTGCACGAAATATACGTGTGTGATAGGGCCCTAAGCATTCCGGTGTAATTTGCCAGAACTACGGCTGTATATCTAGGAATAATATTTCGTTACGTTGTTTTCCTAGAGGGATATCGACATCCACAGTAACCTAGTGGTCTTGGTCAAGGACTCGTGTCCGGTGTGTGTCATAAGTTCGAGCCTAGTACCACTTAAGATCTACCTTGTAGAGAGGCTGATGCACATTAAATCTGTTGAGGTTCTAAATCCTCTCGTTGCTGTGGTTAAGTTCGAAGAGGGTTGCCGGCTCAAGCGTCGTCCTCGTTACTTGACCAGGGTTCAAAACAACGAAGTCCGCCGTGAATAGCCCTCTTGCTGCTTTCTAGTGTTTACTCTGGAGGGAAATCTACGTATTCTCGTGAATCAAGGAACACTTTGCAAATGGAAGAATTGTTCTCTTTTAGGGGGGTGAGAACAGCTCTTTTCTTTTCTTTTTTTTAATTCTTTTTTGAAAGAACAATTATTTAATATGATCAACTGATAAATTTCTGTTTTGTAACTCATACTGCAATATTCAAACCATAGATGGCAAATAAATATGTATCATTATTTTATCTTATTATTCTGTCTTACAATAAATATATAAATATTTATGCAAATAAGTACTAATTTATTTCATTTTAATTTTATTCATTAAGTTTTTTTTTCACTTTTTCGAAAGTGAATTTATCTACTTTAGATTTGTTAAATATTTCTATTCCTGAAACCAACTGTCCATTCGTACCAAAACCAAGGGGGAAATTCTTTCTTAGTGAACAGAATTATAGATTACCACCACATAGAACAGATTGAGAGACGAAATGAACACATAAAAGTTAAGATCTCATTTTTACCACTTGAAAAGACGAACGTTAAGAACAGGTTACGTGAAAAAAGAGAACAGGGTGTTCCTGCTCTTTTAAAAGCACTTATTATTATTCCTCATCTCACGGTGGCTTCTCTTTCACAACATCCTACATTTTTCTCAAATTTTTTTTTAAATTCCCCCTGTTGGTTTGGTTCACACTCTCGCTATATATATATATATATATATATATATATATATATATATATATATATATATATATATATCTTGTTCAAATTTTCAATCGTTAATGAAATATTTTTTATTCAACCACTCAAATTCAAATACATTTTTTTAAACTTGTAGTGGATGACACTAGATGTTAATACAGTTTTTTCGAATATTAATTAATAAATAAATAGCAACAAACAAAAATATTAGTCCAAAACTATATATAAAAAAGGAAAATCGCTCGTTGCATCCCTGTAGCGTAATGGATAGCGCGTTGGACTTTAAATTCAAAGGTCGTGGGCTCGAATCCCATCTGGTATGGCCTAATTTATGAGAATGTGATTTATTTTTACTGTACTATTTTATTAAAAGAATTAAATTTAATTAGTGAATAATTATAGAAACGAACGAAAATAATAATCCAACACCCTATATAGAACGGAAAATAAAAAATTGCAAGGAAAATCGCTTTCGATTTTTCCACTTAATGTTATGATTTTGTCATATGTATATACATATTTATATTAATTGTAACTATTTAATAAAAAAGTAATTAAAATAAAATTTTTCCATGTTGAGCTAAGTAGGGGAATTGACTTATAAAAAGTTTTTTTTATATTACTTGTTTTAACTTGAAACTTTTTTTTGGTAAAACTTTTTAACACTAGTATTATTGAGAAAAAGGCCTGTGTGGTATTTTGATCTACTCCAGGCGCAATTATATTGAAATTACGACTTCTAGACAATAGAAATTTGTATTTGCCGCAAAAAAAAGAAATAGAAACGGAAACTGAATTTACATCATTATCACCAGGAACGAAAAACTCCAAAGAATTTACTGCTTAAAATTTGGAATGAATACTTTATTCTAGTGTATTGCCTTTTATAAAATTGAAAAGTTTGTGTTACAAATTTTCTTCGGCAACGGATCAGAGCTATATGTAAATTGACTTATATTGATACTTTTTATAATACTTGCATCAAATTATCCATCATATATTTAAAAAAATCAAAGAAATCTGACGGTAATTTGATATGAATGAAAAATTCTGTTTACATCAAAAACAAATTAATTTAATCTTCTAAGAGTGTTGGCTGACATCCTTTGATATCAGCATTTTGAATCAAGAAAAAATTATATTTTATTCAATCAAAGAAAAACTTCCTCTTTTTAAATAAGATAAATTAAGTTAAAAATTTATTTGAAATATAAATGATCAGTATTTTAAAATGATATTCTTAGTAATTTGTATTGAAATACCAATAATTATGGTAATAGTAAAATGTAAAAGAGCCAGAGGTATCAGAGAAGTACTGATCATTGCAAATAATGATACTTACGTATTATACCCCATCAACCAATTTCACCAAACCATAAAATATCACCTAATCAAAAGACATTCCCAAATGCTGTCATCATATGCATGAACCAGATTAGTGTGTTTATACATGCGTGAGAACATTTTTCTATTACTGGCTGCATGTAGAGGCATATTGGTCGATGGTATAAAGCAATGATTCCCAAACTTTTTAAACCCATGGACCCATTTTAATGGTCAAAACTTGCCCATGGACCCCTTTTTATAGTCAAAACTTCTCACAGACCCCTTTTTAAAGTCAAAACTTTCCCAAGGACCTCCAAGTAAAAAAGCTACATAAATGCATAGTATAAAAAATACAAATTTAAAAAAACATTTTGTTGAAGAATTATTTATTGAAATTATAACTTTTGTTTAAAATAAAATTTTTTAAAAATTAATGACTTGGATGAACTTGAGGAGATGTTTTGAGTGTATTTATATCTGGCCCAATGTTTGTGAGTAGCAATCCTCAAATCCCCACGAGCACCAGTTTTTAGTCGGTTTCTTTTGTGTGTGTGTGATGAGGTTTTTTATGGTACTGAATCCACGTTCTTCCAAATTGGAAGACGAGAAAGTAGTCAACAACTTCTGTACAACAACCCATATTGCCGGATATAAAATTGGAATCTGTTTTTGTAACTATAATTTGTGGTATCCTTGTTCAAACATTGGTTTAAGTCCCGCATTCGTGGATATTTTAATAAGATGCTCCTGTATTTGTATTGTTTCATCTGTGTTTGAGATCTGAGTAAGCCCACGCGCAAAAGGGTTCAACACCCAGTCGAGGATATCCAAGTGAATTATTGTTATTTATTTAAATGTCCATAAAAATAAGAATGGATCAAAATTTTTTTATTTTATATTAAACTTTGCACGGACCTCCTGACGTTGTTCAGGGACCCCGAAATCAATTTTAATTTTCCTCGGACCCCCCGAATAATATCGGGACCCCTGGAAGTCCGTAGGGACCTCTTTGGGAACTACTAGCATTCCCAAATAATTACACAGTCCAGTCACATTAATGTGACCACCACGTACTTTCGACTTTGATGTTAAATAACCAATCACAGAAGGATGCTGGCATCGCAGTGCTATTGAGCGTATATAAAGAGTGTGTGAGGGCTTCGGAAAACACTACAATCGTTGGCGTAATGCGAACATGTAAAGAGTTATCCGAAGTCCAAAACGGCATAATTTTTGGCTTTCGGGAAAAGGTTGGAAGCATTTCCGAAACGGCTAAGTTTGTGGACTGTTCGTGTGTCACCGTGGTTAAAGCATACCGTGCATGGCAAAATGGGACCGTCCAAAATCAGTGACGTGGCAAATGTAGTGTACCACGTGCCATAGGTGATAGAGGTGACTGATGGCTGCAGAGGTGAGTTCGGGAGAATAGACGTGCTACCGTTAATCAACATACCACCCAGATGAACCAAGGGGCTACCAACAGTGTCTTCCAAACTACTGTTCAGCGATCGTTGTTGCGTCTGGTTCTCCGAAGCAGGCGCCTGGTTCATGCACCTATGCTGACTGCTTCTCATCAACAACGAAGACTGGAATTTTCATACAGGTACCGCAACTGGGCATCCAATGAGAGGCGACAGGTAGAGTTTTCTGATTAATCACGCTTTATACTCCATCGGACGGATGGTCGGTGGCAAATACGGCATGAAACGTCTAAAAGCAAACATCCTGCAACAATTGCTGGCAAGGTTCTGGCTGGAGGCGGGAGCATTATGGTCTGGGGAATGTTTTCCTTAAATTTTCTGTGCTTATTCATCATTGTGGAAAGCACGATGGATCAATAGAAGTACGCATCTGTCCTTTCAGACCATGTCTACCCCTTTATGCGCATTGTTTTTCCTCAGGATGGTGGCATCTACCAGCAGGACATTGCGGAGTGTCATACAACTGACAGCGTACGTACGTGGTTCAAAGAGCACCAGGATCAGTTTATCGTTCTTCCGTGTCCAGAAAACTCACCTGACTTAAGCCCAATCAATAATCTATGGAACCCTCTCGATCGGGTTGTTCGCGTCATGGATCCTCACGCACGTAATCTAGTGCAGAAATAGAGTCGGCATGGCTCAACATCCTAGTGAATACCTTGAGGATCCTAAATGACTATTTTCCCCTCTGCGAAAGATGGTTATTCTGGCTTTTTACAGTGGTCACATTAATATGACTGGACTGTGTATAAATGATAAACTAATTGAAAGCCTTTCTAGAAGATGGATAAATAAAAGCTCCTAGATTTCTTTTAAAATTTCTGAATGCTCAAGTTATAAGAATTCGGTTGTCACTCTGAAATACTCAGGACTCTTCTTGAATAGTAAAAATGCTTCCTAAAACTATTATATATGTAAAAAAATTTAATTTATTTTATTCACTTGATTCTCTGTGTATTTTTTCATTAGAATGAGACCAGAAAGCACGTTACATTTTGCTATTGATAAATTATTTTCGCATTAAATTGTGTTAAAATCTCATTGAAAATGCAATAATATTACCAATGTTACTAATGCCTCCTGATAGACGGTATCAGATCGAGGCCCACGAAATTCATCGCGGAAAGGAGGCTAGATTACATCTCTCGGTTTGGCCGCTGCTTTGAGCACCGTGAGGTGACAGTACATTTTGATTCCGTTCCATCCCAATCTTGAGGATGAACACTTGGGAGATGGTCCGGGGGCTTCCTATCTCTCTTCCCCTTCCACAAACCACACGAGAGGACTTGTGGCTTGCTGAATATTTAGAATACCCCCTGCAGCACAGTCACTATACATATACATTTATATCTTCTTCGGGATTCGAACTCAAGCCCTATATCGTCAAGGTTAATGATATTTCTAAAAAAGACAATGCAGATCACTAAAAAAAATTTTAAGAGAAAGAGGAGGATTTATTTTATGCAGGTTCTGGACAATAGCAGACACAAATGAATGATGAAAAAATAATTACTATTGTAATTACTGTTATTGAAATTTTTTATCATGTTTAAAATTCTGTATTAATGGAAAATATACCTAAGTAAACTGGTTATCCGGGCTTAAAGTATCAAAAAGTTATGCGGCCTACCAAGCTTTTTTGAGTAGCCTGGTCATAACCCATTGCTCTGAGAAATTCTTTTATGTAAGACAAAGTATCAAACATTTTGCTGAAAATTCTTTGACCAAAAAGAAATCAAATATATCAATTTTGCTTTTTTGCTGTCGATGTCGTACAGATGCGAATTGATATTCTTTTTCTATTTGTAACGGTTACGGTTCGTGAGAACAGATAACAGAGGAGTAGCGACGGTTTTATGGGTGGAATTAACTTTGTGAACAATCTTTATTACCTTACAAGCGAAAAATATTCGAATAATTTGGAGGTTGACTGTTTTGCAGTGGAATAGAAACATGGATCAGTACTTGTTTCATCTGTCACGAAAGTGTTGTATTTAAAAAATACCAATAAACAGGAATTATTTGATGATACGTATCCTCTTTCAAGAGGTGATAAATAGGCTTTACTGAATATTCCTTGTAACAGCAACAAAGTGTTTCGTCAGTTCTAATGTCACAGTAGTAATAAAAACATCAACAGAAGTTTGTTATATTATTGGTAATCATATGGAGAACCGTTTACTGATGCAAAAAATGTGGGGGAGTGTTTGTTAAATTCTTGTAATTAAGGATTAGTGATAAAAATAAAAAATATGTATAAAATTTTTTTAAAAAATCAAAACATTTTTATTTTCTATTCTAAACTTAGAATGCTTAAAGCAAAAGGATGAGTACCCCTAGTCTAGTCCAATCAGCCGAATGTGCGCGCATTATTCGGCAATAGCAGACGATAAACTTTTTACACTGACTTTATTAGTACAGATGTGGAAGCCACACTAAAAGGTGCAGTGCATACTTTAGTTAACGGAATTTATTTAAATCAGTCACGTGTGTACAGCGGCGTGTTCTAACAGAA